TCCTGCCTCAGCCTCCTGAGTAGCTGTGACTACAGGCACCCGCCAACATGCCCAGCTAGTTTTTTGTATTTTTAGTAGAGACGGGGTTTCACTGTGTTAGTCAGGATGGTTTCGATGTCCAGACCTTGTGATCCACCCACCTCAGCCTCCCAAAGTGCTGGGATTACAGGCGTGAGCCACTGCCCCGGCCCGAAGATTATCATTTTTAAAGCATCAGGGACGCTTCCTACCTCCTCAGGTTGTTGCACTGTGGCTGTATAATTTAATGTAAAGTGAATACTCAGAATATCAGACCCAAAAATAAAGACAGTGAAGTAAAAATAATTTTTGACTTTTACTTGGTTTTCTTTGATCTTAATTATAATAATAACAGGTTCAATAAATAAATGAATTACTTGAAGCAGTGGCTTAAGATACTCATAGAAGATGCCATTTGTTAACAAAGTGACAAAAAGTTCCAAATGTTGTTTAAGTTTGGTGTTTGTAATTGGAGAATTTGTTGACTGTCCTTTTTAGTTTGTCATTTAGTTAGGATTTACTGAGCTGATTAACCAAATTTTACTAATAATTTAGGAATCTTAAGGGAAATTTTTTTACTCAAAGATCTGCTAAAGTAGAAGTATAATAAATTATGTTGAAGGTTACCTTTGGATTTATACTTCATTCAAAAGTTTTTAGTTTCTATGGGTAAGTGAGAATCATGTAATTTTGTGTAGTTGATATGGAAGGTTACAAAGGTAATTTAGGCTGGGCACAGTGGCTTATGCCTGTAATCCCTTTAGGAGGCAGGGGTGGATCACTTGAGCTCAGTTTGAGAGCAGCCTGGGTAACATGGCAAAATCCTGTCTCTTAAAAAATACAAAAATTAGCAGGTTGTGGTAGTGTGTGCCCGTGGTCCCAGCTCCTAGGGAGACGGAGGTGGGACAATTACCTGAGCCTGGGAAGTTGAGGCTGCAGTGAGCTGTGATTGCACTACTGTACTCCAGCCTGGCGGTTGAAGTGAGACCCTGTCTCAAAAAAAAAAAAAAAAAAAAAGATAATTTAAAGTAAAAATTAAAGAAGAAGGCTTGTAGCATCCTGGTAATATAAACATTTTATTTTGATTATTTTCAAATTTTTAAAAAAGTTAATTGATAGTGACTTTTTTTTATGAATTGTTTATTTTTAAAATACTGGACAAGTATATTTTTATGGGAAGTAGATTGAAGTAAATCAGAGGCAAGGATGAGAGGATGAGAACTGCATTTAATGTGTCTGAAGGGTTAAAGTCAGAGTATGTGTTAAAGAAGAGGAAGTAGGAAATAAAGGATGGTTGGAAGACTGGCTGTTGGTGAGACTGGGTGCTTTTGAGAGACTATGAAAATGGTATTTTCTTCAGGAAACACAGGAACCCTTATATCCTGCCCTTGATTAATTTTCTTTTCCTTAAATTTCCTGAAGGGGAATGTAAGTACAGTTCAGGAATCAGCAAAGCCAAATAACATTTTATTTCTACCGAGATGTTGATTCCAAATGGTAGTGCAAGTTGGACTTGTTGAGCACCCCCATTTGCTTAGATTAGCTCCAGTCTGCGTCTCAGACTTGACGTCAGCTCTCCAGTGAGATGAAAAATCCTTTTCATTTGGGCAGATGGAAATGGCACCAAAGAGAGTGCCCCCTGCTTGTAGAAAATATGGCCTTTTTTATCCTGAGGCTTTATTAGGTAGGGTGGGAGGAAAGGAGAAACACAGGGGGGTAGGGGGAGAAAGAGAGATGTAAATCTCAATTCTAAGCTACCAGGAAAAAAGAAACAGAAGAAAGGCCCCATGCTTGTATACTTGATCTTTCAACTCGGCATTGTGATACCACTCATAAAAACTGTAGCCAATAAGATGTCCATAAAATTGACTAACATGACCAGTACTCCTCATTCTAGGAGAGGAAGGAGATTTGCTATTCTGGGTAGTGTGAAGTGGGGAGATTTGAGGTAAGAGTCCTTTCATCCCTACCTAGATGTCAACAGTTGGGATAAAATGAATTATAGAGGCGCTTGAGTACCAAACAGGAATTTAAACTTATTTTTTCCCCCAATTCTTACTCTGTGTTGAATGTGAAATTTGAACTCATTTTAGGAATTGGAGAATGATGCAGCTTTTCAGCAAGCTGTGAGGACTAGTCATGGCAGAAGACCTCCAGTAAGTGAAAAAACATTTTTTTTTTATTGTGGTAAAAAACACATAACATGAAATTTACCAAAGTAACCATTTTTACCTGTATATTCCTGTAGTGTTAAAGATTATAACCATCATTAGCTTTAGATGGTAGTGAAAGAGATCTTCAGAAGTTTTTCATCTTGTATATCTGAAACTCTGTATCTATTAAACAAAAACTTCCCATTTTCTCCTACTTCCAAAGCCCCTGTAACTACCATTCTACTTTCTATTTCTATGAATTTGACTAATTTAGATACCTTACATAAATGGAGTCTCAGAGTATTTGTCTTTTTGTGACTGGCTTATTCACTTAGTATAATGTTCTCAAGGTTCATCCATGTTGTAGCATGTGACAGAAACTCCTTCCTTTTTAAGTCTGAATAGTATTCCATTGTATGTTTATACCACATTTTGTTTATCCATTCATCTGTCAATGAACACTTGTCCATTTTTGTTATTCAGTTGTAGGAGTTCTCTATATATTCTGGATATTAATGTCTTATCAGATGTACGATTTGCAAATATTTTCTTTCATTTTGTAGATTGCTTTTAACACTGATGTGTCCTTTGATACACCAAAGTTTTTTAGTTTGATATAGTGCCAGTTGTCCATCTTTACTTTTGTTGCTTGTGCTTTTGGTGTCATATTCAAGAGATCATTGCCAAGAATAATGTCATGAGGCTTTTCCCCTATGTTTTCTTCTAGCATTTTTGTAGTTTTAGGTCTTACATTTAGATCTTTAACCCATTTTTTGTTAATTTTTATATATGGTATAAGATAAAGATCCAACTTCATTCTTTTGCATATGGATATTTAGTTCTCCCAACACTATTTGCTGTGCAGACTGTCCCTTCCCTATTGAATGGTCGTGGCACCATCGTTGAAGATCATTTGACCATATATGTAAGGGTTTGTTTCCGGGCTTTCTATGCTGCTCTATTGGTCTGTTTATCTGTCTTTATGGCAGTAACCACACTGTTTTGATTACTGTAGCTTTGTAATATGTTTTAAAATCAGGAAATGTAAACCTTCAAACTTTGTTCTTTTTTTTCACAACTGTTTTAGCTACTTGGGGTCCCTTGGTATTCCATATTAATTTTAGGATGAATCTCTATTTCTGTAAAAAAAAGTCATTGGGATGATAAGGATTTGATAAGATATTGAATTAACTGGGTTGTATGGACATCTTAACAATATTAAGTCTTTCAGTCTATGAACCCATGAACACAGGATGCCTTTCCATTTGTTTATATGTTCTTTAATTCATCAATGTTTTGTAGTTTTCAGTGTATCTAGTAAGTGAATTTTAAAGTATTTGAGATCAAAGGATTTCTTATGTTATTGAAAATGTAAACATTATTTTTATTAGGCATCAGAATATTGTTTACCTAAAACATTCATTGTTTTAAAAATATTTGCTTTTCTAATTTTTAAAGTAGCATAAATATTGATCCTTCAAAACATTGGGGCTTAATTTACAGATTACCCTTCCTTGTATTAATATTAATTCTCTATGAATTGATTTTCTACCAGTACATGAATTGCTGGAGTAGTTTTTTTCAGTATTAGTATTAAGGTTTTTGTATATGTCGTACAAAGCATAGACATCTGCCTTTCACAGTGCATGAAATCTGCCAAGCTTTGTTTGTAGTTGAAAATAAACAAGGTTGACACTAAGTAGTGAAGCAGAAAAAGTTATATCCCTGATGTTCTATGTCTAATATTCCTTTTTTGAATGCTGCTCCTCCCTATCCATCTAATACTATATAGCAGTGGCTTTCAGCTGGGGGCACTTGTGCCCCCCCACCAGGGACATTTGGCAATGCTTAGAGAGATATTTTAGGTTGTCACAACTTGAGTGGGTGCTACTGGCACCTAGTGGGTAGCAGCCAGAGATGCTGCTAACCATTCTACAATGCATAGGCCAGCCCCTGGTAATAAAGAGATATCCAGCCCAAACTCCTCTGCTTTAGATGAAGTGTCCTTCTGCTATTATCTTCCCTCACTTTGTCACGTTCTCCCTTCCTCCCTGTCCTACGTACTTATTTAGCAAAAATAAATCATTGTGAATACCTCGCCCATCTCATATAGGGTAAATGCATTTAGTGTGGTTCCTTGCAATGACTTTGGCTAAACCACTGCACAGGTAGAGGACACAGTCAGTCCTCCATAAGACTGCTCCCACTTCTGACACCAACTGCAAGTTCATGGTTCCCAGAACCATCCTCAGGCTTGATAATTCCCTGGAAAGACTCAACGAACTCACTGAAATCTCCTATACTTACAGTTTAATCATGGGAAGGATACAAATTAAAATCCACCAAGGGAAGAGATGCATAGAGCAGGGCCTAGGAGTGGTCCAAACAGAGAGCTTCCGATTATCCTCTCCCTGTGGAGCAAGACATGGCAGTGCCTTTTCCTAACCACAGTGTGACAGTAATTGAAGAGTATTGCCAACCGGGGAATCCTACCCTGGACTTTGGCATTCAGATTTTTTACTAAGGCTTGATCACATACCGCCCACCAGGCCAACCTTTAGTCTCTAGCCCCAGAGGTTCGGGCTAATAACTCCAGAAGCTGATGTGTCCCAAAGCTCCCATTGTGAATCACATTGATAGACTGACCAGTGGCCAAAACCAGGGCAAACAAAGACACTCCTGTCAGGCAGAGCATTTCAGGGGTGTAGAAATCATCTCTTAGGAGCCAACAACAAAGGCCACACCTCTCTTTGAGTAAAGTTAATTCACTACACATTCTAAAACCCATATTTTATTTATTTATTTAATTTTTTTACAACTCATATTTTAATTTTGAAGTTACCTTCATTATGGGAAGAAAAACCATAGGCTCTGGGTCTTTCCACTAGGCTAGTGATTAGACTGTAAGCTTTTCAAAGAGGCAGATTATTTTATTCATCATTCTTTTCCTTGTCTACTTAAGTGTTCCATACATCTTTATTGACTAACTTAGTAAATCAGTGAACTTTGTCTTCAATTAAGTGATTTCAGGGATCACATAGCAGATGAAAATTTTGCCAGGTGGCCCTTCCAAAGATCTTTAGAAATTACTTTGGAGATACTTATTTTATAGATGAGGAAACTGAAGCCTAGAAAAGCCAAGGCCTCACAGCTGTCTGTAACTGGGATAGAGTGTGGGTCATTTAATCTTCTGTTGAGTGATATTTTCATCACATCCTACTTACTATATTAAATGGGAAAAAGTTTTACGCTTTTCATATGAAAAATCTTACAGGTTCACTAAAGAGGACAAAATTCTAGATTGCTCCTAAGGAGCTTACAATCTTCAGAAGGAAAATTAAATGGACACACTTAGATATTACAAGGCATGAAGTAATAAATTATAATAAAAGAGTAAAAATTGCTATGAAATTTCAAAGAGAGGTCATTTGCCACTAGTTGGGAAAATCAGAAGAGGTTGCTTAGAAGATAAATTAAGAGTTGATTATTACGGGATATGTAGAACTGAGATTGACCTTGAGATACAGGAGAAAAGGGCATTGCAGGTAAGAGTACAAGGTGAATGAGGGAAGCGAGTGTAGGAGCTGCCCAATGCTGACAACAAAACTCAAAAACGAGATTTAGTCGTTAGGTAGTAGTTAAAAAAATAATGGTCTTCCCCTCAGTTTGTTCTCATGGAAGAAGTTGCGGAGACCCATATGCTTCCTTTTCAGTTTTTTCTAAGACCTGGAGCCAACCTTATCAAGCATGAGTTTAAGCCCTGAAACATGTATACAATTAAAATACCTTTCGATGTCTAAAGTTCACCTAACAACTTTATATCTTATCACCTGTAATTCAGGCATTTGTTTTCCTACAGAATTAACATATATGTATGTTTTTTACCATATTTTGCCTCTAATTACATTATCATATGATTCAGTTCAAAATATTTTCTAATTTCCATGGGTATTTCTTCTTTGACCTGTAGGTTTTTTAGAAGTATATTTCTTAATTTCCGAACATATTAAATTTTTCTAGTTATCTCTGTGTTACTGATTTCTAGTTTTATTTTTAGATAGGGAATATAATCTGTATGCTTTCAATGTTTTGAAATTTGTTAATGTCCCAAATGCATTCTTAAAGAATATATGTTCCACGATGGGTACAGTGTAATATGTCAATTGGGTAAAGTGTGTTAATGGTTTTGTTCAGATGTTCAATATTTTTACTGTTTTTTGTTTGCCTACTGTAGTTGTTGTCTTTGTTTTCTTTTCTTTTTTCTTTTTCCTTTCCTTCTTTTCTTTTCTTTTTTCTTTTCGTTTCGTTTCTTTTCTTTCACCAAGTCTCACTCTCTTTCCCAGGCTGGAGTGCAGCGGTGTGATCTTGGCTCACTGCAACCTCCACTTCCTGGGTTCAAGCAATTCTCGTGCCTCAGCCTCCTGAGTAGCTGAGACTACAGGCTTGAGCCACCTCACCTGGCTCATTTTTATATTTTTAGTAAAGACAGGGTTTCACCATGTTAGTCAGGTTGGTCTCGAATTCCTGACCTCAGGTGATCCACCCACCTCAGTCTCCCAAAGTGCTGGGATTACAGGAGCGAGCCACTGCGCCTGGCCTACTGATTCTATTTTTAATGAGAAAGTGTGATCAATTCTTGCACTGTGGTTGTGGGTTTGTATTTTTTTAGGTTTTTGCTTTATATATGTGGAGCAAAGATATTTAGATTGCTATATTTTCATAGTAACTGAGCCTTTTATTGTTATGAAGTATGCTTCTATCTCTAGTAATGCCTTTTGTCTGTTTGTAAGATATTAATATGTTGTTATAGCTATACAAGCTCTTTGTCTAGCATTTTTATTGTATATCTTTCCTGTCTTTTTACTTCCAACTTTTCCATATCAATTTATTTAAAATGTAATTCTTATTAGCAGCATGTGATTGGTTTTTGTTTTTTTAATAGTCTGACAATCTTATTTTAGTTAAGTATTTATTCCACTTACATTTAATGAAGTTACTGATTTACTTTAACATTTACTATGTCACTGTTTGCTTTTGTTTTTTCCTGGCTCTTGTATATTTCATTTTCTCTCCTTACTTGCTTTCTTTTTTGCTTGTTTTTTATTATGCCATTTCCTTTTTCTGTTATCTTAGTAGTTTACATTCTCTGACTATTCTTTTAGTGCTTCCCTAAATATTATGATACTCATCTTTAACTTTTTAAAGTCTAGTATAAATTAATAGTTTCACTACTGCCTGGACAGTGCCAGGATTTTACATTATTTTTATTTTTTCAGTTCTAGAATTTCTATGTACTCCTTTTTTATAGTTTTTAGTTCATTTTCAGTTGCTGATATTACTAATCTTTTAATTCATTGATCATGTTAAGCATAGTTATGTTAAAGTCTATGTCTGATATGTCCATTATATGTATCCACTTCTGAGTTTCTTTCTATTCTTTTGTTTATCTTGGCTTTTGGTTAGGTAGTCTTGCCTCTTATATGTCTAGTTGGTTTTAATTGTGAGACATTATAAATGAAAAATTTTAGAGATACTTCATGGCTCTGTGTCTGCACTACTCAGTATGAGAGGCAATAGCCACATGAAACTATTTACATTTAAATTATTTAAAACTAAAATAAATTCTCATTGTACTGCTTACATTTCATATGTTCATCAGCCTTGTGTGGCCACTGGGTGTCTTATCAGCAAGGGCAGCTATAGAACTTTTCCATCACTACAGAAAGTTTATTGGATAGAACAGTGCTAGAGGATCTTTCACTGGAGAGAATTTACTTTTACTTAGTACTAGCAGCAGTAGAAATCCGTGATCACCTTAATCCAGTCGGGTTTGAGATGATTGTGAATTGGATGTCAACCCTTATGAGGGCTAGTATACTATTATTTACCTTTTAGTCTTAGGGTGTAGCCTTTTGAGATCACAGTCTAAAGTCCAGAGGATTACCAGGTCTGTGTTATTGGCAGGCCCTCATCTCTAGTATTTATCCCCTCAGGCTGTGAGTCTCAAAAGCTTTGCCCAGTGTCTCAGATTTGCCATTGGAATTAACAGATGCCTCTAGAAGGAAAGCAGGCCTAAATGCAGGCTCACCTCTCTAGCCTTCCCGTCTCTTCTTTATTTTCAGACCTTGTAATTCTTCACTGTCTTGATGGTTCTCTAATATATTCACACATTAAAAAAAAAATATTTTGACCCCATGTATATTTTTTAATAGTTCTTAGTGAGAAGGTTTTAAAAAACAGTCCATCATAGCCAAAAGTAGAATTCCTCCGTGAGTGATATTTAATAAATATTTCTAACAATTCTGCTTAACAACTAACATTTTTAGTATACTTTCACTGATGTGCTCCTATTTGATTCTGACTACAATTTTGTGATCCGTATACTTTGTATTCTTATTTAAAAGATGAGAAAACTGTAGGTTCAAAGAGATTAAATAAAGGTAGTTGTTATAGAGATAGCTGAGATTCAAACTCAAGTTCTCAGACCCCAGATCTTGTGTCTACTGTTTGGCCTAGTGGCTAGCAGTAGTAATTATGCAGTAAAGTGTTTAATTCGTGATGGTTGCAAGCATGAAAACAAATCTTTCTTACTGGCACCTCAGATCATTCAAAAGTCCACTTTCTCTTTTAAAATGAATTCCAGAATGAGTCTCCTTCCCATATACTTAAAATACCTGAGCTCCCTAATATTTAAGATAATTTAAAATAAATCATTCTAAGTATTATAGAAATATTTCTTTATTGTTGAGTCTATATTTTCTATTTCTTTTCCAGTTTTCTATTATATAGCTCAGTCTGAATCCTGTTAACTATGTTCTTTTTCCTCCCCAAGATAACTGCTAAAATATCAAGCACGGCAGTTACTAGACCTATAGCTACTGGATATGGGGTAGGTTTTTGTAAGCTGAAAATATTAAGATGCTTTTTCTCATACGATAGTTCACTTTAGGCAGTTCTGAATAATTTTATTATATTTTAGGTCATAACCCAGATATATTTTCCATTTTGGATACTTACGAACATTATCCAAGTCTAGTTTGATTAATAAATTTGAATATTCTAGTCATTTTGATTTGTAAGTATTGGAAAATATTTTATTACCTTTTTCCATTTGTAAACCCTGTGTTCGTTGACTTCCTTTCATTTTCCACATGATACAACCAAGTCTCGTGTATTCCATTCATGTATTTTATGTGAAGTTAAATTTTATATAAATGTAATAGTGTGTATAATTGGGAAACATTTACTAATCAACAAATATAAAATTTAAGAAAAGTGTTTCAGAAGTGTATATTTGGGTCTTATATTAGAAGCCTTTGGAGGAAAGATATATCAAACTCTATAAAAGTAATAAACTTTTTAATGTTGCCCAAATTACCTGTAACTTGGATGTTTTAGCTTATATGAAATAACAGAGGAATGAGAAAAATGGAAAAATTAGGTGGAATAGCTTTTCTTAGTCAAAAAAATGTCTTCAGAACCTAGAGGTCCAGGGCACTTACTTTCATAATGTTCCTTTATATGAGTGAAGAAAGTAGCCTTCTACGTAATATAACTGTGTGTCATATGAAACGTGCTTTTATTAGTTAGCCTGAGTGTATATTACTCATAAATTTGATTTTTGGGGGTGTTTCAGAATAAGAGCAAACTTTCTCCATGAAGGGCTAGATATTTTAGGCTTTGCAGATCATATGGTCTCTGTTGTTGCTATCCAACTCTGCATTTGTATAGCAAAAGCAGCCATGGGCAGTGTGCAAAGGAATGGGGCATTGCTATGTTCCAGTAAAACTTTATTTACAAAGGCTATGTGTTGTAGTTTGCTGCTCCCTGTTTTATAGTTTTACCCTATACCCTCAGGAGGTAAAAGTAATAAATTACATTTGTTTATTTGCCGATAGAATGAAGAAAACTTCTATAACTTGGTTTAAAAATTTAAGGTAGATATTTTTAGGAATCTTTTTAACTTAACTTTTCTGTTTACTAGTCCAAGACATCTCTGGCATCATCAATAGGAAGACCAATGACAGGGGCTATTCAGGTATCTCTATTTGCATGCTTGTTCATTTTGTGCCTTTTTTGTGACTTGAAATTTACTACCAAAGTTTTTTTACTTTATTATGTTATTTTAAAATGTTAAGATATTACTTACATAGTGACCCAGATTCTTTAAATTGTGGGCTAAAGTCTAGACTGTTGTAAATCTTGGAAGGTAAGGTCTCTTTAGATTTATTTACTCAGGTATCAAATGAATCCCCATTGGTGAGTGGGCATAGAACTGATCATTGCTTATATGGTGTATTCTGGGGCCCGTTTTTCCTGTGCTACCATTTACAACAATTTCTGTGGTTTCTCTCATAGGCATGTAAGAAACCAACCAAAAGTAAGAGAGTAGCTGGCTAACAAGCTGATTAATTTTTTTTTAGAACTATAGGCCAGTTAGATCCAAGAATTAAAATTCTAAAGGGGAGAGAGGACAGGATTGATACATGAGGAGGTAGAAGTAAGGAGTAAATGTATAGTGATTAAAAGTTAGCATTTTAAAAATGGGTCTATATTAAGCTGTGTGTAATGTGCAGAACTGTACATAGGAGATCTTATTTAAGAATGAATGATTCCCATTCTCTTTAAAGGATGGAGTTACTAGACCCATGACAGCAGTGAGAGCAGCTGGTTTTACCAAAGCAGCTTTGAGAGGTTTGTTACACTATCTCTACTAATAATCTTTTTTGGATCTTTTACTCTTTTGTCATTTTGTGATATAAATATTAATGCCATTTTAAATAAAATCTAATGATGCCATTGATTATAAGATGCACCGATATTTTAGGTACCATTAAGAAAGGAAAGGGATAATGAAAACCTTCTACATATCTGTTGGGGTGGTAATTAAACCATGGTGTAATTTGTCAAAATGTATTGAAATAATATGTAGAAAGTTAAATGATAATTTAAAAATAAAATTATAACAAAAATTAATGTTTAGTATGCCAATAAGGAAAATTAAAAAGCCAATACCAGGTTATAAGACATGTGACTGATAATTTAGAGTTGATAATAGGGATAGATCACTGTGGAAGAGAAAGTTAATGCTGAGAATATCTTATTTTTGTTTTTAAGTTTAATACATGTGTTATTTACATAGCTTTATGTATGTTAAAAATCTTACCAATTTCCCAGTATGTTTATATAGATACAATGTTATGTCCATTTAATAAATAGGTAATTGAAACCATTTAATAAAGAGGTAAATGAAATATCTTATGCAGAGTTTTATATTTTCATATTTTTTTCAATTTTACTGGGTTACAAATAGAATATTAACTTTTGAATTGTGTCTCAGGCTCTGCATTTGACCCTCTTGGTCAGTCAAGGGGCCCTGCTCCCCCTTTGGAAGCCAAGAAAAAAGATAGGTATGCAAGTCCTTATGTTGTTGTTTGTTGTGGTTGCTGCATATTTTTAATTTTTATTTTCCAAATACATAATTTTTTTTTTTTTTTTTTTTTTTTTTTTAAGATAATTTCTCACTCTGTTGGCCCAGGCTGGAGTTGCAGTGATGCGATCTTGGCTCACTGCAAACTTCACCTCCCAGGTTCAAGTGATTCTCCTGCCTCAGCCTCCTGAGTAGCTGGGATTACAGGTGCCCACGACTATGTCCAGATAATTTTTGTATTTTTGGTAGAGATGAGGTTTTGCCATGTTGACCAGGCTGGTCTCAAACTCCCAATCTCAAATGATCTGCCGACCTCAGCCTCCCAAAGTGTTGGCCTTACAAGCGTGAACCACCGCACCAGCCCAAATACGTAATTCTTAGAAAGTTTGTGTCAGCAGAGTAGTAAACAAAAAACCATCCCTAGTTGCCAGAACTAACAAAATTAAGAATAGCCATATGTATTCTGTGCAGTTTTATTGTGATGTTATTTGACTTGAAGATATGGTCTGATTTTTTTATCCGGGCCAGTATTGAGTCTCTTGACAGCCAAATGGGGTTGTAAATGTTATAAAATAGGATTATTTTGAGAGGACATTTCAAGGGAAAAAATTAAGAGAACACATGAAATTAATTTGTCATATTATTGGAAAATTTAATTTTTTATAGAACAAACTTAATTTTGTGCTAGCAGCTAGACAGTAGCCAAAAAGGTATGATATACATTTAATTATGTACATCTGGTATCTAAGAACCTTAATGTATACATTTTACAAATAGTAATAAAAGCTAACATTAACTGAGTCCTTGCTGTGTGCCAGGCACCTTTCCAAGTACCTTCCCTATGAAAACAGAGCTATTACTCTCACTAGTTCATAAAGAGGGGAACTGAAGCCCAACTGTCTTAACTTTCTAAGGCTAATAAGTGACAAGGCTGAGATTCAAACCCAGTTTTTCTAGTTCCAGAGCACAAGCTGGAACTAGAAATTAATCACTATACTGTTTTGCTTCTATAGAATATATCTTTTTAAATTGTAATTCTTTTTTTTTTGTTTCTTTTTTTTAAATTTAAATTGTAATTCTTAAACCCAATATTTAGGCTTTTGTGTAAATTACATAATTTCCATTTTTGACTAACAAGGAACCTCTATAGAAAATCACTTTATCTTCATTAATGACAGCATATTTGCTAATAAAAGCATTTTTTATTTAAATATTTTGTCATTTATGGTCCTTTCAGCTGCTAATAACAGAAAACATGGTTTT